TCATTATTAGTCTCGTGAGAGAGCGCTAACTCCGTAGGGGTTATGCAGTGCTTGGGGAATGGGATGTATCAGGCTTGGAGCTAAGAATGGGGAGGGCAGTTGTAATTCCCTGAAAACGCAAAACCCGTGTGGGCTATCTGGTGCAAGGAATGGTGGAGGCTCGGCCCTCTGTCTGTATAACATCCTTCAAGTGATTGATTTGTGGGTTTAACAAGCATCCAGGGAGACTGATTCTCTCTCTCTCTCTCTCTCTCTCTCTCTCTCTCTCTCTCTCTCTCTCTCTCTCTCTGTCTCTCTCTGTCCTCTCTGTCTCTTTCTGTGCCTCTGTCTCTCTCTGTCAACCTCAAACTACCTCTAGATCTCAATAACCAATTAAGACCTCGACATAGTTCACCTCTCTCTCTCTCTCTCTCTCTCTCTCTCTCTCTCTCTCTCTCTCTCTCTCTCTCTCTCTCTCTCAACTCAGTAAAATGAAGGTTGGTGACCTATCAGTAGCTACAATCATTCTATAACAAAGGTCTGGTCAGCTTTGCTAACTAACATTCAACTTCAACTTTCTTAAGTCTGACATTTGAATAATACTCAGTGACCTTAAAAAAGTAAGCAACCGGTGTTACATTCTGACCTTTAAATACACTGTGCAAATACGTGTTCAGTACTGGTTTGGTTGATGAAGATATCAGCTGGACAAGTGGTCTTTGAAGGTCTAGGAAGAGACTTGTCAAAGTGGTCCGGGACCTTCTTCTGACTTAAATGTGTGATTTGTTATACTGTCTAGATAGGGAAGTATTTAAGGCGTTTAAAACAACACGTTTTCATTGGCTGTGACAAAGATTTCGTATTCAAGCTTTCTCTCTTGTTTTTATATACTCTTCTCTTTTTTTCCTGTCTTCTCTCCCTTCTCTTCTTTCTCTCTTTCTCTCTCCGTGTGGGGCGGAGCTCAGTATATCAAGTCAAGTGTGAACAATTCTGGCAGGTCTTGTTCAATAACCAGGAAATAGTATTTTAATGGTGAGTGAGTGAGTGAGTGAGAGAGTGAGTGAGTGAGAGAGTGAGTGAGAGAGTGAGAGAGTGAGTGAGAGAGTGAGAGAGTGAGTGAGAGAGAGACTTCATGTGTGTGTCATTGTCATAGCTTCCTCCTCAAATTCTTCAAGTCATGTGACGTCTCTTAAGGTTTGTATACTATCTACTACATGAGGGTCATTAAGGCTGCCTGTCATATATACACTGACATCAAGGATACTTGTATTCCTAAGACGGATTAAAATATGCTCTCGAAGGATATATACTGAGAGGTATATACCTCGGGGTGCATGTACGTTGAGAGATACACATCTGTAGGTACAGAAATTGAGAGACATACATCAGGGTGTATATAAACTGAGATACACACCTCTCGGTATATATACACTGAGGTATACACACTTCTTCGTGTATATACATTGAGCAGTACGCAACTCTGAAAATATATATTCTAGGTAAACACGTGTGTGTGTGTTTATGTGTGGAATAAGAGATCACATGTCCCGTGGTAGGTTTCTCGCCACACATGCCCACGGGGTCACCACACATGCCCACGGGGTCACCACACATACCCACGGGGTCAAAGCATGCCATTCGTTGTTATAAGCAACCAACCGTTTCTTTTGTTGTTGTTACCGTAAATTACAGAGGTATTTTGGGGATTTTTTTGAACCTAAGTTTTACTGTTACCTTATTACGCTTGCGATGAGAGAGAGAGAGAGAAATAGAGAGACCATTATAAATTACTGCAAATTAAACTACCATGGTTCTTGGAACACGTCATTAAGATTTGTTAACCTCCTTGATAACTGGTGAGAAAGTTGGTTGTTAGACTTTCTTCTGTTTAATTATTTTAAGTCTTTTCAGAGTGGCTATGTTCGGCTGATTCACTTTAATAAATAATTCATATGCAATAATCCATAGAAATAATTGTTATAAAAATCTCACGATTTCCTTAGAACAAGTTCAAGACGTGTTTTTCCATGGATGATTTAGACAGAATATATATACCAAAAGGTGATAATATATATATATATATATAATATATATATATATATATATATATATATATATATATATATATATATATATATATATATATATATATACACTGAGAGGAGTACTGGGGATCGAACTGGTGTCCTTGTTGGGTAACCCCAGCACCAACTAAGCTAGCAGTTGGGTCTAACCACACAAAGATTTTTCACACACACACTGTGGCTTAGTTGGTGTAGTTGTGGATTCACAACCGTGGTGACACCGGTTCGACTCCCAGTACTCCTTGGACACTATGGCAATATTCTGAGTTCACTGTACCAGGATTACCTTCGTCTTGTTTTAAGTGCAAAGGGCCATCGACACACTGCCAACACTGTGTACTGTGACTGAGAAGTACAAACATGCACATACACACACACACGTTTGAAGAATTGTACCACTGCGATGTTCATCATGTTCATCATGGGGGCTGACTTACCCACTGAGTACCCATGATGATTTGAAGTCCGCTGGTTCACACCACTCGGACCAACGTCGAACTGACCTTTGCTGTCAAGAGTCGCGGCCTTATATACCTGCAGCCACAGCACCGCCTCCCTCCCCCGGGCTTTCCCTCACCTCCCCCGAGCCTCTTCCTGCCCACTTCTAAGTTGGTTACTTGGGTTTGAAGTCTATCTACTACACGAGGGTCATTAATGCTGCATGTCACCTTTACACCATCCGTCAAGAATACTTTAATACCTAAAATAGTGTATGTACCGGGAGACAAACACTCAGTATACACTGAGAGACACTATGTATACACTGAGAGACACTGTATACACTGAGAGACACTGTATACACTGAGAGACACTGTATACACTGAGAGACACTGTATACACTGAGAAACACTAAATGCACTGAGAGACACCGTATACACTGAGAGACACTGTATATACTGAGAGACACTATAAACACTGAGAGACACTATACACTGAGAAACACTAAATGCACTGAGAGACACTGTATACACTGAGAGACACTGTATACACTGAGAGACACTATAAACACTGAGAGACACTGTATACACTGAGAAACACTAAATGCACTGAGAGACACTGTATACACTGAGAGACACTATATACACTGAGAGGCACTATACACTGAGAGACACTATATGCACTGAGAGACACTGTATACACTGAGAGACACTGTATACACTGAGAGACACTATAAACACTGAGAGACACTGTATACACTGAGAGACACTATATACACTGAGAGGCACTATACACTGAGAGACACTATATGCACTGAGAGACACTGTATACACTGAGAGACACTATATACACTGAGAGACACTGTATACACTGAGAGACACTGTATAAGATAAGATAAGATTTCGTTCGGATTTTTAACCCCGGAGGGTTAGCCACCCAGGATAACCCAAGAAAGTCAGTGCGTCATCGAGGACTGTCTAACTTATTTCCATTGGGGTCCTTAATCTTGTCCCCCAGGATGCCACCCACACCAGTCGACTAACACCCAGGTACCTATTTGCTGCTAGGTGAACAGGACAACAGGTGTAAGGAAACGTGTCGAAATGTTTCCACCCGCCGGGAATCGAACCCGGGCCCTCCGTGTGTGAAGCTGGAGCTTTAGCCACCAGGCCACCGGGCCACTGAGAGACACTATATACACTGAGAGACACTATACACTGAGAGACACTGTATACACTGAGAGACACTGTACACTGAGAGGCACTGTATACACTGAGACACTATACACTGAGAGACACTGTATACACTGAGAGACACTGTATACACTGAGAGACACTATACACTGAGAGACACTGTATACACTGAGAGACACTGTATACACTGAGAGACACTGTATACACTGAGAGACACTATACACTGAGAGACACTGTATACACTGAGAGACACTGTATACACTGAGAGACACTGTATACACTGAGAGACACTATACACTGAGAGACACTGTATACACTGAGAGACACTGTATACACTGAGAGACACTGTATACACTGAGAGACACTATACACTGAGAGACACTGTATACACTGAGAGGACACGTATAACACTGAGAGACACTGTATACACTGAGAGACACTATACACTGAGAGACACTGTATACACTGAGAGACACTGTATACACTGAGAGACAGTGTATATACTCACTGGAAGCTATCTTTACAACTAACCCACAATTAAAACTCAACGATTTCGGCCCTTCCTGGACCATTATCAAGTCACGAATTCTTCAGGAAGGACCGAAACGACGTCCATTTTACATTTAAATTGTAAGTTACGACAAGTTGTAGCTTGGGTATTGTGACTGGGTATTGTGACTCTGGGTATTATGACTGTGGGTATTGTGACTGGGTATTGTGACTCTGGGTATTATGACTGGGTATTGTGACTCTGGGTATTGTAACTCTGGGTATTGTGACTCTGGGTATTATGAATGGGTATTGTGACTCTGGGTATTGTAACTCTGGGTATTGTAACTCTGGGTATTGTAACTCTGGGTATTGTGACTGGGTATTATGACTGGGTATTGTGACTCTGGGTATTGTAACTCTGGGTATTGGTGACACTAGTATTGTACTCTGGGATTTAACTGAGGTATTGTTGACTGGAATTATGACTCTGGGTATGTGACGAGGTGCTGTGAGACTGGGTACTGTGACTGATTATTTTGATGGGTATCGGACTGACATTACTGTGGCTCTGGTAATTGTGGACACTGGATAATGGGCCTGGGTTATGTGAACTGGTGCTGTGACACTGGGTATACTGTGAAATGGGTCATGTGACCGGTAATCGTGACTGGGTACTGTGACCTCTGGTTACTTTGCCCCTGGTACATATTACAATTTCAGGGTACTGTGGTATTGTACATGGGTTACTGTGACCGCTTGGGTACTGTGACTGCATACTGACTCTGGGTTACTGTGCCTGGTACTGTGACTGGGTACTTGCTCTGGGTACTGTGACCCTGAGTACTGTGACTCTGGGTATTGTGACTCTGGGTACTGTGACCCTTGGTACTGTGACTCTGGGTACTGTGACTCTGGGTACTCTGACCCTGGGTACTGTGACCCTGGGTACTGTGACTGGATACTGACTCTGGGTACTGTGACTCTGGATACTGACTCTGGGTATTGTGACCCTGGGTACTGTGACTCTGGATACTGACTCTCGGTATTGTGACCCTGGGTACTGTGACTGGATACTGACTCTGGGTACTGTGACTCTGGGTATTGTGACCCTGAGCACTGTGACTTTGGGTACTGTGACCCTGAGTACTGTGACTGGGTACTGTGACTCTTGGTATTGTGACTCTGGGTACTGTGACCCTGAGTACTGTGACTCTGGGTACTGTGACTGGGTACTGTGATTCTGGGTATTGTGACCCTGAGTACTGTGACCCTGGGTACTGTGACCCTGGGAACTGTGACTCTGGATACTGACTCTGGGTACTGTGACTCTGGGTATTGTGACCCTGAGTACTGTGACCCTGGGTACTGTGACTCTGGATACTGACTCTGGGTACTGTGACCCTGGGTACTGTGACTCTGGATACTGACTCTGGGTACTGTGACTCTGGGTATTGTGACCCTGGGTACTGTGACTCTGGATACTGACTCTGGGTACTGTGGCTCTGGATACTGACTCTGGGTACTGTGACTCTGGGTACTGTGACTCTGGGTACTGTGACTGGATACTGACTCTGGGTACTGTGACTCTGGGTACTGTGACCCTGGGTACTGTGACTGGGTACTGTGACCCTGGGTACTGTGATTCTGGGTACTGCGACCCTGGGTACTGTGACCCTGGGTACTGTGACTCTGGGTACTGTGACCGTGGGTACTGTGATTCTGGGCACTGTGACCCTGGGTACTGTGACTCTGGGTACTGTGACCCTGGGTACTGTGACCCTGGGTACTGTGACCCTGGGTACTGTGACCCTGGGTACTGTGACTCTGGGTACTGTGACCCTGGGTACTGTGACTCTGGGTACTGTGACTCTGGATACTGTGACTCTGGATACTGACTCTGGGTACTGTGACTCTGGGTACTGTGACCCTGGGTACTGTGACTCTGGGTACTGTGACTGGATACTGACTGGGTACTGTGACTCTGGGTACTGTGACTCTAGGTACTGTGACCCTGGGTACTGTGACTCTGGGTACTGTGACCCTGGGTACTGTGACCCTGGGTACTGTGACCCTGGGTACTGTGACCCTGGGTACTGTGACTCTGGGTACTGTGACCCTGGGTACTGTGACTCTGGATACTGTGACTCTGGATACTGACTCTGGGTACTGTGACCCTGGGTACTGTGACTCTGGGTACTGTGACTGGATACTGACTGGGTACTGTGACTCTGGGTACTGTGACTCTAGGTACTGTGACCCTGGGTACTGTGACCCTGGGTACTGTGACCCTGGGTACTGTGACTGGGTACTGTGACCCTGGGTACTGTGACCCTGGGTACTGTGACTGGGTACTGTGACTCTGGGTACTGTGACTCTGGGTACTGTGACCCTGGGTACTGTGACCCTGGGTACTGTGATTCTGGGTACTGTGACCCTGGGTACTGTGACCCTGGGTACTGTGACCCTGGGTACTGTGACCCTGGGTACTGTGACTCTGGGTACTGTGACTCTGGGTACTGTGACCCTGGGTACTGTGACCCTGGGTACTGTGACCCTGGGTACTATGACTCTGGGTACTGTGACTCTGGGATACTGGACTCTGGGTACTGTGACCCTGGGTACTGTGACTCTGGGTACTGTGACCCTGGGTACTGTGACCCTGTGTACTGTGACCCTGGGTACTGTGACCCTGGGTACTGTGACTCTGGGTACTGTGACTCTGGCTACTGTGACCCTGGGTACTGTGACCCTGGGTACTGTGACCCTGGGTACTGTGACCCTGGGTACTGTGGCTCTGGGTACTGTGACTCTGGGTACTGTGACTCTGGGTACTGTGACCCTGGGTACTGTGACTCTGGGTACTGTGACTCTGGGTACTGTGACCCTGGGTACTGTGACCCTGGGTACTGTTACTCTGGGTACTGTGACTCTGGGTACTGTGACTCTGGGTACTGTGACCCTGGGTACTGTGACTCTGGGTACTGTGACTCTGGGTACTGTGACTGGGTACTGTGACTCTGGGTACTGTGACTCTGGGTACTGTGACCCTGGGTACTGTGACTCTGGGTACTGTGACTCTGGGTACTGTGACCCTGGGTACTGTGACTCTGGGTACTGTGACTCTGGGTACTGTGACCCTGGGTACTGTGACTCTGGGTACTGTGACTCTGGGTACTGTGACTGGGTACTGTGACCCTGGGTGCTGTGACCCTGGGTACTGTGACCCTGGGTACTGTGACTCTGGGTACTGTGACTCTGGGTACTGTGACCCTGGGTACTGTGACTCTGGGTACTGTGACTCCTGGGTACTGTGACCCTGGGTACTGTGACCCTGGGTACTGTGACTCTGGGTACTGTGACTCTGGGTACTGTGACCCTGGG